TAAATTTTTAAAAATGTTATATAAAAATAAATTTAAAATTTAATTGTTTGGGATTGTTGTTAAAAAGTAAGTTTGAAAAAAAATGTACATTTTAAACATTATGTTGTAAATTAAAAATATAACATTTAAATTATATTTATACTTCTATATGAATCATATCAATTTAAACTATAACAAAATATTAAAAATATAAATATAAATATATAATTATAATAAAAATATTTTTTTATATAACTCACTATTAATATTTTAATATATAAATAATAAATTTTATTTATTATTTAAATAATTAAAATAAATTATTAAAAGTAATAAATTATCTTTGTAAGGATGTTAGTATTAGATTCTTAAAATAAAAAGTAAATACACAATTGAGTAGAGCTCATGTATTAGTAAAGATAAAATTATAATTTATTTCCAAACGTAAAGTTGAAAATGAAAAAGACTAAAAAATTTAATTTTTGTTATTAGTTTAAAACTACCGTTTTCACTTTTTTTTAGTTTTCACTTTTTTGACACATTTCGTAAATTGTTTTCAGAAAAATTAACCAAACAGTGTGAAACATTTTACAATGCAACATCCAAACAATGTAAAATATTTTTTGGAAAACGTTTTCCGGAAATGTAATTCATTTTCCGGAAACTGTTTTTAGTGAAACAAACAGACATTTATATTTGGATTATGCAATTTGAATTTTTGAACTTTACGTATGAATTATGTAGAATTTTAAGTTGTTCGAATTTTAATTTTTCAGGAAAACTAATGTAGAATTTTTTAGTGCAGAATCGTTTACTGTTTAGTGCAAAATTTGAAAAAAAACTCAAGTACCCTGTTACTTGAACTAGCAGGTGCCCTGATTATGCGAGTATCCGACTTACGGGGTACCCTGATATTACGACCCAAGTCAAAGGTCGATTTTTAGTACCCAAACAGTTCGAGTACCAGGTAGTTCAGGTACCCAAAAATGCATGTACCCGGTTTTGAACACCCCTATTTGTGAGAATTGAAAAGCACTTAATAACTTCAGATATCATTCTTAATTTTTTTGAAAACTTGGATTGGCAATAAACCTTTTCTTTAAAAATCTCAACTTTTTTATTTCAAAAAGAGCTTGTTGGTTTGAATGTTGTTATGATTTACAGTTGAGAATAAGAGTCGACTGATAGCAAATTTGACTTCCTATGAATACACCTAGCAGTAGTCCGCTATTGAGATCAGGTTCAATTCTTATTAAGACAATATAACCTGAATTGGGCTTTTCCAACGCTTAAAACTGTTTTGGAGCTAACGACGATAGCCATAGTTAGTTTAAGCAATGACTGAATTTCAAGGATTGACTTGTGCATATCAGTTTGAAGCAAAAAGTAAGTTACAAGAGTTGGACCTTGTAGACTGTAACCATAATTAATCCCGAAGTAAAATCTTTATCGATGATCGAAATAAATTAAGGCAAACCGAGGCTTGAGGCTATTTTTCATCATTATTATTTTCAACTATTTACTTTCATTTTGTCATTTTTACTTAATTTATTTTACTTAGTTTTTATCACTAAACCCCCTTTTCTTTTTACTTACAATTTTTTGTATCAAGATCAACACAATTCTAAAATTGAAAATTTTTAAGTCCCTGCGGATCGACAATTTCTTCTTTATACTACGCTTTAACTTATTTCATTTGAGAAAAAATAGTGATAATGCCTGTCAATTGGTAATAAGGGTGAGTATTGGGTGGTCGGTATCGATACTAGAGGGCTTAGTATTAGTACCATCATGTTAAGTTGGGCAAGAAGTATAACTTTTGGATAAGAGCTCGGAAATAGGTTTAGAGCCACCAGGATTATTATAATAAGCTTAAAACTGAAATCCTTAATGTTGTGTGATAAGCATGAGAAAATTATGAGGTAATATTCTATAAGACTTATGCTTTTGTTTAACACTCTGGAAAATGACGAGGACACCCGAGCTATTTGTATGTATGATGACGATTTAAAGTATATGCATGTGAAATATTCTGATATATCCCCAACAGTGTTAAGGCACTTTAGTATATCAGTGCTAATGCACTTTCGTATTACTACTAATGCACTTTCATATTAGTGATTAGGCACTTTAGTATCAATGGTAAAGCACTTCAGTTACGTGACGGTATTACCATGATATTATATACCACGAACTATATCATGATGCTTTTGATGTGATTTTATGCTTGATGCATTTCTTTATTGTATGATTTGTACCTAAGGCTATGTATTATCATTATGTTTGTGTCCTATCTGTAGCGTAGGACGATGCATAGTAACATAGTATTATGATTAGAGACTAGTATATGTATACTCACGGCGAGACCTTTAGTTATGAACTAAGGAAAGCATGAGACTCATATCAGTGTGGTAGTTGATATACCTTGGGTAGGTGGTTTGATAATACTGATAACATATTTGTATTGCTTCTCTGACTATACTTGTTAGAATGATTATGTTATGAATGCATGTAGTATAGTAGATGAATTATCTGAAGCGTGGCTTGCAAGCTCAGAGTTCGAAATGTGTTTTCGTTCATAGGTTACAACTCACATTATGTGAGATGAGACAACGATAGTATCAGGGAATCTCAGTGGGGTATCAGAGTACATCGATGATGACTTAGTAGGCATGTAGAGGTCATGTTTTGAAATGGTCAAATTGTAATATTTTAATTGTTCATTTTATTTATCGAGTTTTTAAATTATTGCCTCGTTTTTGTAATAGTTATGGTTTCATAATTTGTATAAATGTTTTAAAAATGAGTACGGTTTCTGAAAAAATTGTTAGTCACTTTGGTGATTCCGTGTGATACTCAAATCTTGAGATTTGGCTGTTATAAGGTGCCTGGACTGTAATGGACATTATTTGACACGTGTCATGCATATAAATTTTAAAAAGTATTTTTTTTAAAAATAATTAATATTATAATTAAAAACCCAAAAAACCTACAGAATCGTCGTCGACCGGCCACTATTGGTCTGTGACTGCCACCATTGACACCATCAAAATCGTCACACTGCAACGACTAAAACCCAATGCCCCACCCACCCTGAAACTACGCCCATTTTTGTATAAAAAAAGTCGTGAAGGTCACTGGATTTCTATGTTATTCGACGACTGTAGTTGTCCATATGTTACATGGTTTCCATTGTTGAGTTCTTCGTCTTGCTCCGAACAAAACTCGATCGGTGATGACCCCTTCGCCATCAGCGGTGGAAGGATGAGAGAGAGAGGGACGACGTAGGGGTTAATTTTTTTTATTTCTTTTTTTAAATAATTTTTTTATTATTAAAAAAATATAATAGTTAGCACCTGAAAGTTAAAAAATATAACAATAGACACCTAAAAGCAATATTTTTAAAACCGGACCGGACCTTGAACCGGTGCATGTACTGGTTCACTGGTTCACTGGTTCAACCGGGTTTAACTGCGGTTCAACCGGAATTTATATAAAATAATATTTTTTTAAATTTTACATAATATTCAAAGCAATATTAATATACATATAACACTTTTTTAAGTTTATAATATTAAAATGTATAAAAATATCACAAGTCATAACATATATAAGTTAAAAAACATAAAATCAAGTGAAATAAAATGATTCAAATCAACTACAGCATAATATTTAAGGTAAAACATATTAAATGATAAATATAATTATATAATTATAATCAAAAAATAAATTTGGGGCTGGAAAAAATCATAACGAACGATGTCGTTTGGTTTAATTTTTTTTAAAACAATCTCACATGACTAAGAAACATAGAAGATCATCCCAAAAGTCTAAAAAGTAAAAATATGAGAACAAAACAATCTCACATGGCTAAGAAACATAAAAGAGCATCTCAACTGACTTCTTTAAATACTAGAGGTAATTTGACATTCAAAATCATTGAGTCTTTTGGTGAGCACAGAGCGAATTATTCTTTCGCTTCAATTGAGCTCGAATTTCAGGTTTCAATCGAGCTTCTAAATTTTTTTTGAGTTCGAGCCTTTTCGAGTTCAAGTTTCAATATTATATTTCGAGTTCGAGTTGAACTTGATAATTTTTAGCTTGTGAGTTTTTGAGTCGAGTTGAACTTACTTTTAAAGTTTTCGAGTTCGAGTTGAGCTCAGCAGTACTCGAGTTCGACTCGGCTCGTTTAACAAATGACGTCGTTTGGTTTAATTTTTTTAAAGAAAAAAAGAGAACCGGCGGTTCACACCGATTTTGCCGGTTTTCAGCCGGTTCACCCCGATTTTGCTGGTTCTCAGCCGATTCTACCGGTTCTGTGCTCATTCGGTTTTGAAAGTTAACCAGACCGGACAGGCCATCGGTTCACGGTTCAACTGGTCGAACCAGCCGGTCCGGTCTAGTTTTAATAACATTGCCTAAAAGTGTAACGGATAAAACATTAGGCATCTATTATTAGCAAAAAATTCTATAAGCACCAAATCGTATTTTGAGGTATAATTTAAGCACTAAAGAATGTATTAAGCCAAAATATAATAATTATTTTAAAGTTTTGGGTAAGCCAAGCGTTTAATATCTAAACTATAAATTTTGGTTCGTTTTAGTACCTAAAGTTTCAATTTTTTTAAAACCATATCTAATGTTTAATTTTTATTTTATTTTAGTACTCGTTAAAAACTTAACATTAAGTTTTAAAAAATATTGAAACTTTAGGTACTAAAATGGACCAAAACGGATAGTTTAGGTAGTAAAAGTGTTAAGTTTTTAATAGCGAGTACTAAAATAAAATAAAAACTAAACGTTAGACATAGTTTTGAAAGAATTGAAAGTTTAAGTATTAAAATGGATAAAATTGATAGTTAAGGTACTAGACATACCGTTTACCCTAAAATTTTTAAAATTTAATAATTAAAAACCATTTTAACATAATTAAATAATCATTTATCTATTTTAACCTAGTTCTTTTTCCCTAAAGTTGTAAGGATTGGGGGACCCTTACGCCTTTTTTTTATACCTTCTCCTTAGACTCCATTAAATCCCCAAACCCTAGATTTTTTTTCCATGGCGTGAAATTGAAGTATTAATCTCTCATTTTCTCAAACACATATTTCTCTCACTCGTCATCTTAAACAAGGACTCGCTCTTCAAACCCTTGAAAATGTCGGGCGGATTTTTCCGGGTATTTTTTAAACTATTTTCCCCTCGCGTGTACTGTATTCTTTAGATCTTCGCTATCGAGTCCGTTTGCGACTAATTCTTTAAAAAAATTTAGGGTACTTCGGCTGATCAAGACACTCGGTTCTCGAATAAGCAGGCGAAGCTACTGAAATCGCAGAAATTCGCTCCCGAATTGGAGCATCTGGTTCACTTCTAGATGAATCATTTCCCGCCATAATTTCTTTTCCATATTTGCGTTAATGTTCTATGTTAGGGTTTAGTTTTTTGAAAAAAAGAAACATTGTTACTTTTTTTTCAGGTTGATATGACGAAGGTTAAGATGGACGTTATTAGACCTTGGATTGCGACTCGGGTAACTGAGCTTCTTGGTTTTGAAGATGAAGTTCTTATTAACTTCATCTGTGGTCTTCTCGATGGAAAGGTATTATTGTGTATTCATTCCCCTATAGTTTTTGTTTTCTCTAGTTATAATTGTGCTGCTTTATAATATGGTGTGGCACGAAAGTTCTATTGTTACTAGTTAGCAATGACCAGAAACTTTGAAGAACGTACTTAGTATTAGCTAGAAATTGCATTCAGATGGGTGGTCACTCATTAAATCTTTTGTTGAGCTTTATATTTATCATATGGTTTTCCTGTTAAGTGTATGTTAGTTTGGGCTTTTGGTAAACACGCAATGTTATTTATATTTCATCTTGTTGTTTATTCTTATGCAGGAGGTTAATGGCAAGGAAGTCCAGATATCCCTCACTGGATTCATGGAGAAGAATACTAGAAAGTTTATGAAAGAGCTTTGGATTCTATTGCTTAGTGCGCAGAATAATGCAAGTGGTGTTCCTCAGCAATTCTTGGACGCCAAAGAAGAAGAAACTAGAAAGAAAAAGGTTAGAAATATTTCTAGGATTCTGGTTTGCATCTGTGTTAGTACTCATCTTATCTCTTGTTTAACAATGTTAGCATGTGTGGTGTAGGAAGAGTCAGATCGGATAGCAAATGAGATTCAGCAGAAGAAAGATAAGGAAAGTAGAGAACTTGAACAAGAGAGATCGAGGAAGATGGTAATACTATTTTTTTTCATGCTGGAGTTGCAACTTTGAAGCTGGGTTTTTGGTTTTAACTTCCATTGTGTTTTTTATGCCACTCAGCTAGCTTCTGCAATTATTTGGGTTCATGTCCTTTACCTCAAACTACTGTAGGCTGGTGATGCGGGGTTGGATTCATCATCAAAGAATATGCTGCCAAAGGGTTCGAGTGTATGCCCCGAGGAAGAGAAAGATACTGACCAAAGGAATGGTGTCAGAAGGAAGAGGTGAGGAGCTTAGCTTCTTTATATTTAGTTTGGTGCAATTTTTCTCTCTTCTATGTGCCATGCATGTGAGCTGCGGCTTTTGAACAGATCAAGTAGTATCGAATCACTATAAAGATAGTCTGATGTTAGTTTGGGGCTTTCACCTTTCTATTGGGAGGTGTGGGATCTAAAATTTCTTCTTTTTCCTTTACGTTAACCCATTGAGTTTTGGGCTACGCAATTTATGTAGCATTCCCCCTAATTCTTTAGGCTTCTCCTTATTTCTGACTTAGAAGTACTACATTGCAAACAACTTTAATTTTTGTGAAGTTGAAGATTGTGCATTAAAATGGCTTGAATTGACCAGGGATGATAATAGTTCGGATTGTTTTGGGGAAAATATTGCGGTTATTATGTTGTATTCTGTACTTTTTAAAACCGAACCAAATATTAAAGATAACCTAATCAATCTGAACGGAATTCCACTTGTTCAGGTCAGTTCAGTTCATTGTTTATATATTTTTTATAAAAAACAAATTTTCATATAGTGTGTTATTTTCACCAATCTAAATGCAAAAATATTTATTTTTATGTTTTAAAAATAAAAAAGTAATTTAATTAAATAAAAAAAAGATTCAGTTTGTGGGTTGGATAATTGCAATTTCTTAACTTGTGAACTGAGAACCAAACCGAATATAAAATCGAACTGAACACAATGATTCAAATCAGTTTTTGGTTTTCTTAGGTTCTTTGCTCAGCCCTAGAATTGGTAGCCTTATCATTTCAATGGTGGTTCTGTAAGTTGAGGGATGATAAGGAACTGGTTTTTGAAAATAAAATATATTTATTTGAAGTAAATTGATGCAAATTGTTTAAAACGTTGTATTTTAAACTTTTAGAGAAATTCTAATGTATTAATCACTTGCAGCGTTTCCCGGTCTCCATGTTCAACTGATCGCCTTCCGTCCCCTTGGTAATTTAATCACCACTGGGTTTTAGGTTGCAATCGTGAAACCTGTTTATTCAATATCATGTGTTTCATGTGCAGGAGGCCGCATTCTCGTTCAGTCAGCAGATCATTTTCTAATTCAAGAAGCTATTCAGAGTACGTCCTCTCGATCTAGAACTAATAGCATGAATGCATTTCAATCATTGAACCAGGAGGAAATTTTATGTTAAAATTTCTATATTTGACATGGGTGATTACTCGTTTAGTTTCTATGTTTCTGGTTGCTTCATAAGTATTGATTGGCTGAAAACTTTTTTGAGATTTTAGCTTCTGAATTTCATGCAGTGGCAAAAAGAAATTTAGGAGTGTATCTAGATCACCTCAACCTCGACAGAGCTCCATTTCCTTTGATAAGACGTATCCTTCCCCAAGAAAATCTCCAACTCGATCTAGATATTCACCTCGATCATCACGTTCTCCTGCAAGACGACGATCACCTTATTCTAGGCAAAGGTCTAGATCTCATTCATCTCGAGGATCACCATCTCCTGTAAGGCGTAGATTACATTCTCCTTATCAATTCAAATCACCATCACCCATTCGACGTCGTAGATCGCCATCACCCATCCGACGACGTAGATCGCCGTCACCCATCCGACGTCGTAGGTCACCGTCACCCATCCGACGTCGTAGGTCGCCGTCACCCATCCGACGTCGTAGGTCGCCGTCACCCATCCGACGTCTTAGGTCGCCGTCACCCATCCGACGTCGTAGGTCGCCGTCACCCATCCGACGTCGTAGGTCGCCGTCACCCATCCGACGTCGTAGGTCGCCGTCACCCATCCGACGTCGTAGGTCGCCGTCACCCATCCGACGTCACAGGTCGCCGTCACCCATCCGACGTCGCAGATCACCATCTCCTATCCGACGTCGTAGATCTCCATCTCTTGTCCGTCATCATAGATCTCCATCAGATGTGCATCGTATGTCTCGTTCACCTGTGCGTCGCAAATCTCCTCCTCCAACACATCGAAGATCTCCATTACCTGTGCGTCATAGATCTCCGTCACCCTTCCGACGCAGGTCACCCTCCCTTGTGCGACAGCAGCGCCGTAGATCTTCTTCAACACCAAGACATAGGTCGTCATCCCCTGCACGACGTAGATCACCAGCTTCCAGCCGTAGGCCAATAACTCCTTCCCAGGGTAAGTCTTCACCTTATCAATCAAGTTCTGCCTCCCCTGTGCAACGTAGATCTTCGCCAGTTGGGAGGTTTCAGAAGGATCGAAGGTCACCTTTGCTTTTTCATGGAGAAAGACAACGGTATGTTGACATCCTGTTCGTACAGATTTTGTTAATTTTAAACATCTTAGATTTATTAAGGGGCTGAAGTGTACGGCACAGAATGTCTGGAAAGTTGTCTCCTGTCTCTGGATCTCCTTCACATTTGAGGAAGCAGTCTACCAGTGAAGATAGGAGGTATGTTATCAAAATTTGTTTTAAGATGTTTTATTTGTATCATAATCTGTTCATTTTTTTTAGTGTCAATGCTTCTCATGGAATATATCTATTTTCCACATTGTTGATTCTGAAGGTCATCAAGTCTGCGTGACAGTCCTATGAGACAATGTATGCAGCGAATCGCTCGTGATGATAGCTTCAGTCCTGAACAGAAATCGAGAGAACTGAAAGGTCAGCTGGACAGTAAAGGAAGAGGGGGTAAAAATGGAGCCAGCAGAATCAGGTTTGATTTCAAATTAATCGATTTTTTTGCTAGTGCTCCTGTTGGATCTTTTTAGATGATGAATGTTCAAGTTAGTTTGGTCTAATTTTTCCCATAGGCATTCACCACCATTGAGTGAGCAGAGGGTTTCTCCTAGTAAGGTTCATACTCTTGAACGATTGACAGGCATTCAATCTACAGAATTGAGGAAGGACCTTGAAATGAAGAGGTATCACTTTGTTACTGCCATAACTTAATTCTTCATCTTTGATTACTATTGTTAGAGGACTGACTTCTAGTTTATTCCTCTCAGCGAGAGGTCCTCTGGTAAAAAGGTTCATCTAGGAACTCCAGATCGACATAGAGCACCTGCTTTGTCTCAGGACTCATTTCAAGGTGAGAAGCAAAGTTCACCACACCTGGGATCCGGGAAAAGATCTAATGAGAGGAGTCATTCTCGTCAAAATAATATGAAGGATAGTGATAAACTCCACAAAGTGGAAACCTCACCGATGTCTCTTGAAAAGATTGATCATAATAACAATGGTCTGGATTCAGGTTCTGAAGGGAGTGATAATCACAAAACTAAGCATAAGAAGAAGCGAAAGCATAAAAGGTCCGAGAGGTGTGTAGTTACATCAGACGATGATTCTAGCTGTGATTCTGAAATTGAGGATAGGAAAGAAGCTAAGAGGAGGAAGGAAGAAAAGAGATTAAGAAAGGAGGAGAAGCGTAGACATCGCAATGAACGGCGTCGCAGAAGAGAAGAGAGACATGTGGAGAAGCTTAAAATGAAAGGTCAGGACATCAATGACGAGGATGCAGCGAGGAGGAAGTCTCATCCAAGTTTTGATGAAGAGGCCGAGAGTGAGCAGAAGAAGCTTGAAATTGAGCTTAGGATTCGGGCACTTGAGTCACTCAAAGCAAAGAAGGGAGTCATTGGCTGAAACTTGTGTGTTTTGGCACGAATATGCTATTTCATGTTTGTTCTTATTGAACAAATATTCATATTTTGAAGTTTGATTGTAGTTATTCTTTTTTCAAGGTGCAGTGTCTTTTTTCATCAATTCAAGTGTGAATTTTGTAAGGCAATTTGTTTGCTTTGATTAATTCAGGTGTGGAGTTTCATCAAATCTGAAAAAATTCTGTACTCTTTCATTTGAAAATTTATAATAAATGTTAGAAACAAATAAACATTAACCACGTAAAATGAAGTCAAGCGATGTTATAGTAAACCGAACACCCGTCTCTCTCACCTGCCTGTGTTTCCCGATCTTTCTTTCCACGTGCCCATCTCCTCACTTACCTTCCTAGTCTTCACCTACTTGCTCATTTCTTGCAATTCAAATAATTTTATATTTTTTATTATTAAAAATTAATATCATATTAAATAAAATTAAAATTTTTATATTAATTTAAGAAAAATAATTAATTTATACATTAATTTAAAAATATTTTTAAATATTAATTTAATATATATATATATATATATTCAAATATCTGTGTTTCTATCGAAATATCACCCTCAGACCCAATAATTACATGTCAGCCATATTCTCTCCTAATATTACTGATCTAGCACCCTTTTTGACATGGTGGCAATAAGCGCAGATCGTTAGCCGCGCTTTCGAGAGATTCTGTTCGAGCTGGTGTCGCGTAAGGAAAGACGTAGATGGCCATCAGTGTATTCGCTGAACATCTGACACGTACGGAAGGCACGGATCTCCTTTAATTCAGTCGAACCACCCGTCTCCCACATTAATTACCACTCGTCCCCCTCCACTCTCCCTATAAATACTACACTCAACACAACCCTCAAACCACACTCAAATCTCAAATTTTCTCGTTCTTCCTATTATCAATATTTCTATTAAGAATGTCAAATATTTTTATTAAATTATAATTATTTAATAATTTATTATTTTATTAAATTTTATTGTACTACTTTTTTTTTATTACTTTTTGCAGTTATAAAATGGAAGACGGGTTGTTACGTTTAGATGTAAATCATATCTCGAGGCATTTTACCGATACAATAATAATTTTAAATTGTGTAGTTATTTTAATTATTGTGAATATTTTATTTATTTAATTTTTTAGTATTAGTTTACATTTTAATTTGTATACTATTTATTAAATTAGGAAAGAGATCATATATTAGATTCATTTATTCGTAACGTTAAGTTAGAGATACATACTCGTGTTTGGCCGTATTTAGTCGAGGTTGGATTCAGTTACGCAGTGAAATATAAAGGGCGTTGTAACCTTAAACCAACCTTATTTCTGCACTGGTTGAGAGGTGGAGACTAAATACACACACATTTCATCTTATGTGTGGAGAATGCACGATTAAACTAGAGGATGTTTCCATATATTTGGGGCTTTCGATATATGGGAATGTGATTTCTGGGGTGGCGGATGGTGATTGGCATTCTTTGTGCGAGAAGTATCTTGGAGGTGTCCCGCCTAATTTCAATGATGATCGAATATCGTTAAATTGGTTGGATAAAACTTTTCTACATTTGAGTCGTGAAACCTCTGAGGAACAAGTTAAAATGTATACACAAGCTTACATATTATAGCTCATAGGAGGGATCCTGATGCCCAACAAATCGCACAACCAAGTTCATTATATGTGGTTACATCACATCACAGATTTTCACGTTGCCGGTGCACTCAGTTGGGACTCGCAGTTTTAGTATTTCTGTATAGGGATATGTGTCGAGAAACTGATTATCGAAAAAATGCTATTGGCAGATGTCTCATTCTTCTCCATTCTTGGGCATGGTATCGCATACCCTTTTTATGTCCGATCGTGAAAAACTTGTTGGTCTTCCAGCTATTGTTGATGTAATTTCAATATTGAATTCGTATATAAATAATTTTGTTGAGTATATAATGAAATTTTTTCATTGAATAGGTGGTTAAGTGCAAGAAAACATCATTGAGATTTACCATATAAATTGGAATAAATTCGGCTACTCATTGATCAAAAGGTTGGTACATAGGTATGTATTTAAATTTTACTATTTACTTTTAATTATCATTTTATAATTATAATATTATTTTGATAAAAATTAAATATATTTATTTTAGTTTCAATGTGTTCCTTATTCTACTGAAGAAATGAGGATTTGTATCCCACATCACTTAAGGGGCCTATTAGATGTATGGATGGCGGTGGTCCCTCTGATATGTTATGTTATTGTCAAGTGGCATCCTACTGATCGCGTGCTCCGCCAATTTAGTTTCGTACAATCTATTCCAGAAGCACCTAAGAATCACAACGATATGCATATCATCGATAGACGAGGCAAAAAAATGTTGATTGATTGTTAAAGAACATTGAGTGGGTAATGATATGGGAGGATCAACGTGGTCGCATTCCTCATATAAAACTCATTCATGTGGATCATTATTCGATTGCAGATGATTATTATGAGTGGTTCAACACGAACGGGAAAATGTTCTTACCTTCAAAGGAAGCACGAGGCGGGAGCATTCATCGACACTGATAAAGATGTCCACCGTCACAACATCATCGTCTCCTGACTCATGGAAAGAGAGTAGACGCTTTTCGATCGTTCTCAGCTACAGCACCGGAACCATCACAGCAGCCGCCGTCTACATCAGTGTACATTCCACAACCATTTCAGATGACACCGCAGTCATATCATAGGGCACTGCAACCATTTCAGATGCCACCACAGTCGGGTCAGACAGTACTGCTTTTATATCATATGCCACCGCAATCGAGTCAGATGCCATCGTAACTTGTTTATATGCCACCGTAACTTGTTTAGATGCCACCACAACAGGGTTTTATGGCCCTTCATGGTGGATATTATACTTTCATGCTTGTAGATTTAGCGTGGGGTTCATATGTTGCTTATTTGGTTGGTGAAGGTTCACCACATACACAAACACCTACGACCCAGTTTTCGCACTCATCGATGTAGGTGTTTTCGTAGTTTTCACAGTTTTCTATGAGCAGTGAGATAGTTAGCCATACCTTATTCTATGGAGGTGCTACATCGTCATTCATCTCTCATCAACAAAATATAGTTGCTCCTGATGATGATGATGAAGATAATGATGATGATGATGAGAGTGGGGAGGAAAAATAAGTTATACGAAGAAATCATCATCGATACGGACAAACACCATCATGCGGAACACATTCAAGACGCAGACATCGATAGAGTTGTTTAGTTTGTAATGCTTTTATTTAATTTTGTTTGTTTACCAGCAATTGCAAAGTTTTTATTTAATTATGGACTTTTTAATTATTTTGTTTATTAATGTTTTTATTATTTAATTTTTTGAATTGTATCATTTGTATTTAATGTTTCTATTTAGTTATTTTTATTGTTTGATTTGTATTATTTTCTTGTATTTAGTTTGTAATATTTTTATTTAATTTTCACTTGAGTGTCTTATTACTCAATGATGCTCAAATGACATTAATTGAAAGTAAATGAAAATTAAATAACACAAACTTAGATTTCATAAACAACAATTACATCATCACAACATCAATGGTTACTTGATGATAAAAGAGATGGACATTTTTTCCTATTGTGTCCTAGGTTTCTACAATGCCTTTATATTTTTTTGTTTTCTCTGGACGTCTATCGAATATTCATATCACAATGAATTCGAGTTGTTTTTGGATGATCGGGCTCCCTTAATAAGGATTGATCTGGTACAATCGGAAGCCAATTCTGGACTTTATCAGGGTCTTTCTCATTACCTGTGGGGGAAAATTAAATTCATATACCTTAAATACTTCTGAAAGTCGATATACGGGATCCAAAAAATAGTTATAGTCTTGACATGGGAGGATGGATACTTTAGATATTGAAAAATCCCACAGTCACACCATCTGTCTCGTAGATTAACTTTGAACGAGTTAGCTTGAATCCCTTGAAAAGGTTGCGACATCTCTGTGACACGAAGTAATTTATGTGTCCAAGAGAAGATTGTTATAGACATTCCATTTGATGCAACAATTCTTTTTTGTAGATCTACAACTAATCTTAGGTGGTAGACATGACCGTTTTGAATCCAAGTTTGAGCTTGTCCCCCGAGCTTGGAGCTTGGAAAAAAGCGCTCCTAAATGAAAATACATCATTTTAACCAAACTCGTTACTGATAAATGGTGTGCCCCCTTTAAGGTTAAATTGATAACCTCAACCAAGTTGGTCATCATGTGTCCATATCGATATCCACCATCATATGCATTTGTCTATATTTATTTGTTGATGAGGCTGATGTAATTGTATTATTGGTCATTCTTTCCTCGCAAATCTTGAATCATGAACTCAAATGTTTCAGGTAATAGTTTGTAACTTGAGCGTCAAATGTAGAACTTACTGTTAAGCTTCCATAAAAAATGAAAATGATTGAGAAATAAAATTAGGCATTTTGACATACAAGTATTGGCGCTCATCATTATTCTTGAACTTTCCATGATAGTTAGCATCAATGTGTCGGATACAATACTGATGTCGGACATAGGGTGGTTGTCACATTGGACCCAAAGAATTAATTGCTGTTTTGATCCCTATTCTGCGATCTGAAATGACACATATTTTTTCCCTCGTGACAACATGTAAGCGTAAGTTTCTGAGGAAAAAAGTCCAAGAATCTGTATCTTCTCATTCAACAAGGGAAAAACAACTAGAATAATGTTGCGATTACCATATTGGATAACTATCAATAGTAAAACTTGCTTGTATTTTCCATACAATAATGTCCCATCAATTTGGACCACGAGCTTGCAGTATTTCACAACATTAATGCACTGTGGGTAAGTCACAACATTATTTCACAACATTAAGCGTAAGTTTCTGAGGAAAAAAGTCCAAGAATCTGTATCTTCTCCTTCAACAAGGGAAAAACTACTATAATAATGTTGCGATTACCATATTGGATAACTATCAATAGTAAAACTTGCTTGTATTTTCCATACAATAATGTCCCATCAATTTGGACCACGAGCTTACAGTATTTCACAACATTAATGCACTGTGGGTAAGTCC